CATAAAGTGGGAAACGGAGAAATAAAGCCATTACCAGAGAAAATTCTTACCATAAAAAATATTGCAGTACCTAATTCGAAAAGGAAGTTGAGACAGTTCCTGGGAAGAGCGGCGTTCTATAGTCGGTTTGTCAAGAATTTCAGCGAAATAGCAGCGCCCTTATATAAGTTGCTGAGCAACACCAAGTTTACATGGACTGAGGCTGCCGAACAAACGTTCAACCGAATCAAAAACATGCTAGACGATCGTCAGATGACGCTGCGACTGCCTGAACCCGGTAAACTGTTTACAGTGGCCACAGATGCAAGTGATCATGGTATAGGTGCGGTATTGAGTCAGGCTGATAGAGTGGTGGAATACGCAAGTCGCGTTCTCACACCCGCCGAACAGAAGTATTCAACGATCGAGAAGGAATGCCTAGCAATCGTGTGGGCAGTAGAGAAATGGAGACCGTACCTTTTAGGTAGACGATTTCACATCGAGACGGATCATAAGCCCCTACAATGGTTGAAAACAGCAAAAGACCCTCGGGGGAAGTTGGCTCGATGGATGCTACGTCTGCAGGAGTATGATTTCAGCATCGGGCATGTGCCAGGGGAGGAAAATGTAATAGCAGATTATCTGTCAAGACCGGACACCGAAGCCGAACTTCCAGAGATAGCGTGTGCAGTTAACGGCCTAGAGGGAGACCCCCTAGAACTCGTCCGACATCAGAAAGCCGACCCTAACCTTCGGGAGGTAATCAGAGTGATAAAAGAGGGAGAAGATGTTGACAAGAGTAGAACAGATAAAGAATTAACAGTGTTGCTGAGGCAGAAGGAGAGACTGAGAGTGAACGGATACGGAGCCTTGACCTGGCGGGATGATGACGAGAATTGGGTAGCAATAATCCCAAAAGATCTGCGCCAGGAGATGATTCGTGAATGTCACCAGGTAGCGCATACAGGTATTGCACGGACAACTGATTTGCTGCGACAAAGTGCGTACTGGCCAGGTATGAGAGACGATGTTGCACGATATGTATTAGCGTGCCAGCGGTGTCAACTAATGAAAGGAGATCGATGCATACGACCGCCATTGCAGTCAATTCCAGTAACAGCAGTTGGTGATTTGTGGTCAGTAGATGTTATGGGACCGTTCCCGCAGACGACAAGTGGTAACCAGTACCTGCTGGTGATGACTGAGCATGCCACACGATGGGTAAATGCCGTGCCGATGGCGGACCAACGTGCAAGGACGGTGACGGAAGCGGTAATGCGGCACATTGTGGCGGACCATGGGATACCAAAGATAATATTAACCGATCAAGGTCCCTGTTTCGAGAGTGATGAGTTCAAGTCCCGTCTAAAGCAGTTAGGTATCAAGAGAGTACGAACAACGCCGTATCATCCACAGACGAATGGGTTAACGGAAAGGAATAACCGAACGCTAAAGGAATGGCTAGCATCTAAAGGGGGTGACTGGGAGAAAGAATTACCATTAATCTTGCTGGCACATCGTGCCTCGGCACAGGGAACAACCAGGAAGTCACCGTTCCAGCTGATGTACGGCAGACGGCCGAGACTACCAACGCATGATAAAACCTGGCCGCAACAACAGAGATGGAATACAACAAGATTGAGAACAGAGCGGAGACAAGCAATCAGGAATGTGAGAGAGAAACAAACATCAGACATGGAAAAGTCAGAACAGGAGAGAAAGAACTGGAGATTGTTTGAAGTGGGAGATCAGGTGAAGTGTAGAGAACGGAAATATACCACAGGAAGAGGGCCAGGGTCAGGTAAGCTGATCCCGAAGTGGGAGGGACCGTACGTCGTCACCGAGAGGCGCGGCGCAGTGTATACGATCCAGAAAGGAAACAAACAGAAACGCGTGAATGCCAGTGAACTCCAAAGGTGGTTCCAAGTGTGCCAAGAGGGCGAGCCACAAACACTGATGAAGAAGACGGCTGTACGGAGATCAGAAAGACTGCGACGACAGCTTATTAAAAGGGGGGACGAGTGTGGTGCTGTGGTGCGAACTACTTATAAGTAGTATATAGCGTGAGTGTCAACGTAAAGTCTGGTAGCATAATATGGGGGGAAGATCAAGAAAGGAAGAGTCAGAAAACAATGGAATTTGTATGAAACGCATGAAGAGTGACAATGGATTGATGTTTGGCAACAGGAACAGTCCAGTTCCATAGGATGAACTGATCTTTTGCAAATGAACGATTTACGATATGGTTTTCCGATTTTACTGACTAACTCTGTAATTTTCGTTAAATACAATTCGGTTGCCCCCACCTGAGTTCTCATTCACTACAACATCACAGTTAAAAACATAAACTGTCAATTTATTGTAAAATCATGTTTTTGACAAATGGAAAACTGATAACAAGTGAATATACTTGTCGCTGATACCAGAAAATATGGATTTTAGGGGTAGCGTTAGATATTACTAAATACAGTAAAAAGCAGTACATTATTAAAAAAAAAACTGAATCAGTTGTTTTGAAAAAAATTTATACGAAAGGTAAATAATCCACAGTGTTTTATATCTTATCATTTCATGGATTTATCTGTTTTTGAATCACATCACGTCTTAAACGGTCAATAATCTATGCAACAAATTTACTTGAACAACACATATAACTGAACGATATTGTTTTTGAGTTAAATCGGCATGAAGCTTTAGTCGAATATATAACGTGAATATTTTTATGGAAACAATCACGAATTAAGGCAATTTATAAGTCGATGATCATAAGAAATCGATTACATACTTACTTACTTTCGCCTGTTACCCTCAATGGAACATAGTCCGCCGAAAATCGATTACATAGCTACACATAATAGGTGAAAGTGCAAATTCATAGTATGAATACTGGTGATAGGAAATATAAAAATAACGACAGATTTAAGGTCAACAGAAACCAATCAAGATCGAGGTTAGCAGAACAAACTACAGGTCAGACATCGAGAAATTCGAATGCTTCACTTCTATCTGAAGTTTGTGCTGATGACGTTGTTCAGAAGAACAATGAAAGCTCTACGACCAAAACATCCATCCCAGAGAACCAAACACCACCATAACGAAAGTTCTGTAGTGAAGGAGAACACAGGTGAGGGTAACCAAATCGAATATATATCGCAGATTACAGAGTTAATTGGTAAAATAGGAAAACCATATCGTAAACCGTTAATTTGCAAAACATCAATCCATTGTCTGACGTTTCACTATTCATGCGTTTCATACAAATTCCATTGTGTTCCCACTCTTCTTTTCTTGATCTTCTCCCATCTTCTGTTGCCAGACATTACGTTTTTACAACTACTACTACTTACAAGTAGCGCGCACCACAGTTCCTCTGACTAATTTAATAATGGAAATAAGTCAAGCAAATAATTAATGTAACTTTGGGTAATCTGAGGCTGATGAGAAATCAGTTCTAAAGAGAGCTAAAATTTTTCATTTAAATTCTAAACTAATTTTTATCTAAATATTTCAGTGACACGACTTGCAACATATTCTGTTTATAAGTGTGTTAGAATGATAACTCTATAATGATACGTCATTGAAAATATTCATCATTTTAAATAACCAATCACTGCTTTGACCAGTTTGTTTGGTGAGACTTGAAACTTTTCTTTTACCACACAACAAAGCGACTGAGGTAAATGTAAAGTGAACAACATAGGAATGAATCGTACGGGGAGCATTCATGGTTTTAAAGACTCTTTTTACGCTTAACTATAGAAAGACACAAAGCTTGAGTTCATGGTTTTCTATCACAAGGTTCTATATGCTTTTTGTAAAAAACTGCAAATCGGCTTGTTTTGTAATTAACATAGTTTTGGTCGGATTTCTGTTTATTTATGCAAGTATAATAATAAACAATAGTATTGTAAATTTCATCCCAACTTTTCTGTTTTTAACAATAATTCACTCAAAGATTTGATGATGTTGAAATCAACTATTTTTTTTTCCTTGGGACAGATCAGTAATTATAATAAGATTTAATGATTTATTGGTTTTATAATATTTATGCCTAATCGATATGAATCCTTCTTTGTGAATCGTTATGTTTAAGTGGTTTCCTTTTTCGTAATGGTCCATAAGATAAATCAACAATGTTATGCATTAACATAATTACATATCGATTTCTTAATTGGAAAAACCATACATATAGGATCAAAAAAACCTTCAGTAATGTTCATTTTAAGAGAACTGATGTACATACACTTCGTCGTGTCAAAAAAATAATTAGCAAACATCAAAGTGAAACAAATCAGTTGATTAAATAGCTTGTTGACTTTGACTAATTTATTAAAATGTATTGAGAAAAAGATTATTTACATTTACATATTCATATTTCTTAATATGATTGATTTCAATGATCTAACTAACCTATACCACGAACAAATGTATACAACTTTCCATTGCATTCTCAACTGTTCATGTTTGTCCATGTTGTATATTATTTAAGAAAGTGAGTATTATTTTCATCATGAAGCGATTATAATTTTTATTTAGAACTATAAAAAATATTCCTAAAGAATATAAACTCTAGTCGACTTAGTTAGGAGGATGAAAGCGAAATTCCATTCAGTTAGTTCAAATAGTTGCGTGATAATGTCAGTCATTTAAAAAATAATACTTTCAATTCATTCTTCTTATGTTTTCGTCACATATCAATACTCGTCTGTCTATAATTTCAATTTATCATTTTTGGTTGGTATTCAATCACTAAATTGAATTGAATTAATATTTTTAGTAAATGTTCAATTGATATGAGATTATTCGAGTAGGAGGTAATCCATACTAAACCTTATTACAATTACAGTAGACAGTGAAACAGTGACGTAACAAAATAATTTATGTTTTGTTACATTTTGATTGAATATTTCAAATTGTATAATTTTTACATCATAAAATGTTGTTAATAAATAATTTTTTTTCTGAAAAATAACATTTCTAACACTAAAATAATAGAAATGAATAGATTTTATTATTGGGAAATGACTAACAATCATAACATTTCACAAAAGCAACTTGAATTTGTCGAAATACTAAATGTAGATAAACAAGCGGTAAAACATTCGTTCAATGGATATTTTCAATGTAACAGTAATCAGTGTGAAAATTATAGAGTTATCCCATACACGTTTACAGTCAATCCATAAGCAGTGATCATCAAATAGTAATTGTTCTTTCTATCTGCCCCTCCTATAACCATCTCACACGAAAATCCAGTCAATAAAAGGAATTAGAAACATGTTGATTGAGAAATTCTGTATAATCTGATCCGGTCCTTTGATATTGATACCTTGTGGATTCCATTGATACACTGATACAATGAATTACCAAGCGTTCAATTCAGGCGTAATCTTTACAGTGCAATAAGCATGTTTAGAAGAATTACAGACTAGCCTACTGTAGAAGGAAACTAATCAATGAGGTTTACGGTTCTTTTAGGTGGGAAACACAAGCTGAAGGTAATAAAAAACCCTTTTGGCGCGAAAACTAAAAAAATGTAAATTTCCAAAAACAAATTACAAAATTATTTTCTGGTGTCTAGAATCTCCAACAGTCTCAAACAGTTGTGGAGTATATGAGATTTTATTTATTCTTAACAAATATGGTGAATTTGATATTCCACGACTACTTCTGACACTGTTTTCTGTCTTTCTTTTTGAAAACAGAAACCTATCCTAACTGATGGTAAACTCTATAGGTCATATTGAGTTACAAATCTGGAGATAAGAATGACATGAACAATTATCGGCTCATAAATTTTATTCCAGTTATTTCTAGGATAATGGGAAGAATTATTTGTGATAAACTTTTCAACAATTTGGCTAGTGAAAAACTTATTACCTATTCCTGACACGGCTTGCTTATTACTCGATCTTGTATGATCTGCCACTTTAACTTTCTAGTGACCTGGAATTAAAACTGTCATCCTGTTTCCGTATATTATTCTTCGGCAGATCCCGTTTATAAAACCACGGTAATTAAAAGCCTAATAAAGTTTTATGGATGAATTTATTTCTAACACTTGCCTAAGTAGACAGATAATAAAGCGAAGCATAAAATCAAAGTGGAGTGAAAAATGCAAGTGGGCCGACGTCATGTGACAAGGCATGACTAAGTATTCATTGTCAGACAAAAATCAGCTAGACGTATGATAAGCAAAGTAAGCGTTGGATAGACACACTGAAATAAAAACAAACAAGGTCATAAACAAATAATTGACAAGGTCGAAAGACTTGTGAATAGTAGTAACTCGAGAAGATTGAATTCATTAATTTGTCCAAAGGTTGGTACAAACCATGTAGGCTTAACATATGTAGTAGACACTATAGAATCTAAACTGAGGTTTGGACTGAAGAATAACTATCTAGGTAGCTTAGATGAGCGCTATTGCCCAGTTGAAACCAAAACAAGTGATTGGGTAAGTGACGGTTATAATATTCATTATAAATGTAAATGTGCATCATTACCTAAATAAATATTACCACTCAGTTATTCCATCAACAATTGTTCAATTGGTCACATCAACAAAAACAAATAAATGTTATTCAGTCCTTTCTGGATAGATCTGATTCGTTCGAAAGACAATATTTGGTCGTTTTATAACACAGAGTGTTTCCTATTCTGGAAGAGTGCTTCAATTCACAATAAAAAGGCATAAGCAACTCAATCAAAGGAGGCGCAAATCAATATGGCTGTCGCCGTGACTAAGTATCAGCTTAAACTACATAAATGCAGTTCAGAAAGAAACATAGAAACTCAGTGAAGACAAAAGAAATAGAAACTATAATAAATTACAAATATTATCATCTCAAAATGGAATCGAACAGATTAACAAAATGTACAACAGAAGTGATTAATAAGAACAAATTACAAATGTGTAGATGGATGGATTTTTACAAATGAAACCTTCAAAAACTGGATCTTACGCACACTACATCTTCGATCTAGTCATTCCTCAATGTAACTGAGGCTACCTAGTCTTGGCGTTATACTGAGACATTGTACTTAGTCCATAATGCTCCTGTCAAAATAAAATTATGAACACAGATAGTTTTATTAACAAAATTTAAATTAAAAAGTTGTTGTACACAACTAGTTCGGATGACAGAATTAAAATGTGAATAAACAATAACTAGCGGAAAATATACCCGGTAAAGCCTTTTGTTTATCATTTTATTTTATTTATTTTCGCCATTAAAGAGTAAACAAATAAAAATTTTGGTTGTTGAATGTTACATATTTGACTATAAATGTACAATATATATTCAACAAGTTTTAATCAAAAACATATTATCTAATTGAAATACAATCATAAATTGACACAATAATTTTATAAAATAATATCTACTGATTATATTAAAGAAATGTAAGATGTGAATTATGTTTATGAAAATCTCAGTAGTTAAAATAACAGAGTGCATGATCCAACCAATAGTCTTGTTGGAGTTTCTTTCATGAAATATTCTCAACTGTCTGTAGACTATACTAGTAATCATGGAGGAGTTTAATTATTTGTAGTTATCATAAAGGTTTAGCAACAATTAGGAAACATATTATATTTCATCTTTATCAGTATTTACAAATATTGAAAAATAAATAAGAAAAAAAAGTATCAACAACACTATTATGTGTGTAACACTGGTCATTTGATTAAAAAACCATTAAATATCATTTCGTCTGTTTGTTAATTACTTTTGGTGGTTTAATGACATGAAAATCTTGTGTACATTCGGTTAGGTAACAAGTAAATCTATTAACTGACTTACTCATATCACATATCCTTCAGAATATATACCTATAAATACACTACAAGGACTACTGATTGTTCTTCTGTTATACATAGTTTAGTATCAATACATGAACTGTCAGTGACAACAAGAACTTCAAAGGTTTCAGACTTCTGTGTAATCGAGAAATAAGTTTTTTTTTCAACGAAGACAGAGGAGGATTCACTAAGATCTGAAGACTTTCTAAGTGTATGTTTTCTCTCAATCTTGTTTCACTTACCCTCATTTTTAAATGATTATTTGGAAAACTAGTCTTTTACTTTTAGGCAATAATTACCACTCTTATTCATTTTTATATTTTTGCATAGTCAGATAATTATTTGAATGAATTAAGGATTCACTGTAGCATAATTTATGTTCATCGAATTCGATACTTTTTTATTACTGTCATTGTACCGTGTTAATTTATTTCGACACTGTACTCAGTGTGTGTGTTACAGTGTTGGTAGGTGATAAGACTTTTTACAATAGAAATGAATTAATGCTACTACTTTTAAGTTGATTTCCTGACTAGTTAGTTATCAATTAATTTATTTAAACAATCGCTTGTATTCAAAGTAATAAATCATAAAATACTTCTTCAGTAGCTATTATTAACTAAAAAGAATTGATTAAATAAACACAGGGAATATACTAGTATGGTAAAAGCAGTAGACAAGTTACCGTGGTCAGGAAATTAAAACTCTCGACACATTATCCAAAATAATAATTTGTTTCTGAGACTTTGAACACGTATTGATTCATCACATATATATTGGTTTAGTATAAACAAACTAGATGCCTTATTTTGGCCGTAATGATGTTATGTCTAGTATCATAAACTTTGTTATTTGCAAATTGTAAAATTAACGGTTCCCAAGTTTGTATAGTCATTAGTTACAAGTTATGCGATATATTAAACGAAGAATCTAATGATTAAACTTGGTTGATTGAAATAAATATTACAATCCATTTAGAAAATGGATTGCAGTACATTTGATTGACACTATTTGATATTATTGATTACTTTAGCTCCATTACCCTAGTTTATAGAATTTCGTCAATATGACTGACTAGAATTCATAACATTGATCAATTTCAGATGATGATTGAAGTGTATTTGTGTAAGAAACTAACAATCACCTGAATAACACTGTCGCAAGTCTGAACATCATGCAATTCATTCTTAGATGTATGGATTTTCCTAATATCTCAAAGTTTCTGGGTGTGTACGAATAGGCTAGTATACTGTTTGACGTTTTGATACGTGACGAACGATAAGATATGGGAAACGATATTTACTGAATCTCTCCGTTTTGCTCTTTGATTTATTCGTTCTTACATAAATAGTCACCGAAGTTTGTTTTAGTGAATGGTTGTAGTGATTTCACTTTTACGAGGAAAACATGACTGGTTAGACAGAAATAATCATAATGATAACCAATTGTACCAGTGGACGTTTTACCGAACATTTTGTTTATTTGTCCATTTGTACCACACTTTCCTTCTGCACCGTCGCCATCTTGCTTCCGTTGCTCTATACCTTTCACCCATTTTCTCTTGCACGATTTCGGTAGTCTTCCGCTACCACGAAATCGCCAGCAAATGTGAGTATTTCATCTAGATAATCCCAGCCTTGTTTCTTATTAATTCACGACGGGATTACGCATGAGACCCGAAAGTAATTGGTTAGTAGACGTGTTCATAGTCCTCGACTCGAATTTCTACGCGGTTAACTAGTAC